CATTCCTGAGACAAGTCAAACAGAAGTATTGCAGCTGGCTACAAGGTGGAAAGATCCAAGTAGATCCAAGCTGTCTGATCTCTTCCTGGTGTCCTCTAGGGGTCTGCAAGTACTGCTCACACCTGTCCTGGCAAACATTCTTGAAGCAGACCAGGAAAAATGCTGGGGATTTGACCAGTTCTTCGCAGAGACAAGTGACATACTACACCGAATAATAATCCACATCTTTTCACTACAGCAGATGACCTTGCACAAGGTTTATATTCATGGCTATAACACGTAAGTGTTCTCTCTGTTGTCATTTCTTTGCTGTGACCTCCCGTCAGTGTTACAAATTCAGTAGCCTTTCCTTGGCAGCGTACCTGAGGAAGTGAAAGCTTGTCATTCTCCTGTGTAGTCACAGTGCCTAGATTGACCAAAAATAAAAATAAAATCACTGAAGATCAGATCAACTGATCTTAAACTTGGACTTAATCAGTGACAGAACACAAACTTAATCCTTGATGTGTTACAGTGTGTCTGTGTTCTTAACGGACACCAACTCCTACTCGGTTCAACTCTCACTTTTCTTATCCTGTCCTCAAGAATACAAAATGTACACATCATCTGTGTCTGACATAAAACTCCCACAGGGGTTTTGGAGTTGTAATTGGTACAATTTAGGATCCTGAGTTATGTGGGGTTCACTTTATGGTCATTAAGTGCTGATGTTAAAAGCCGTCATGTCTGCTTTACAGCTTGAAACAGAAATAAGTGCCGTATTTTGGCCTTATTATAGGTAGTACAAAGCATTTGTTATTCTGTAACATACAAACAGATAGTTATTTCATCAAATCTGTAAATACAGTTCTGTCCTTTTCCAATTTTTTCTGTTCTGTTCTTTCATTTGTATTTTTAGAGAACCCAAATGCTGTTTTTGCTGAGAAGTCTTGCTTGTAGTTCAAACTCCTGTTTGTACTTTATTTTTTAAATTTTATTTTATGATTGTTTACCTTAATGATTATTTATATGTTAGCTGTAGTATTAAGAAGCGACAGTGTACGAGTGCTGCACAGGAGGGAAACTGGTCCTTCCCACTGGTATGCTTAAGATTTATCCTTACAGGAGGCTTTGTTTGTTTGATTTTTGGTTTGGGGATTTTTGGGGGGTCATTTTTGTTATAAATTCCTATGTCTTGTATCCACTGATTGCTGAAGATAAAATGCCAAAGTGTCTTTGGTCTTCCTTATCCCTGCTAGTTTAGGAGATGATCTGGCTGTCTGTTAGCTTACAGGCTGAATTTAAGGTATGTGCTTTTTGACTTGTAAAACACCAGATTTTTCTCTTGGAGACACCATCTGTCTCCTTTGAAGAAATGGGTGTGCCTGAGAAAACTAAAGTACACTTCCTTCCTCTCATCTGGTGGTGCCTGTTTTTACTGACCTTCAGGCCGAAGCAAGTTTGTTTACACAGGCGTGCTTTGGTGGAAAATCAGAGGCAGAAAGGGAAGTTTGATATTTTGTAGGAAATAGCATTTATTTTTGTAACAGAGCAACCTGGAGCCTTAGGCAGTGTGCTGCTTTTTGTTCTCCTCATAAGTCAAATGCTTTATGTGTAAAACCAGTTCTTAGTAATCAGAAAAAGGGATTTTTATTTAAGGAATACAAAATCTGAATTGTTGAACTACTGTAGTGAGTCTAACTGCTACTGACTGTATTGCTTGTATTACAGAGCTGCCATATTTCATGAGTTGGTCTACAAGCAGACAAAAATACCATCTCAGAATCAAGAACTAATATATGAAGGTCGGCGTTTAATAATAGAGCCTGGCAGATTGGCCCAGCACTTCCCCAGAACAACTGAGGAGAATCCTATCTTTGTTGTAAGCAGGGAGGCTGTGACCATTGTCGGACTGATCTATGAAGAAGGTATGTGAAAGTATTTTCCCCTTTCTTAGAGCTATCTTCCGTAAATAGTTTGGGTTATTTAATTATTGTTTAGTGTCTTTTATGTCTTAGAAACAGCGTTTGAAAATATTATATGTTGATATCTGAAGTTCTATGCATGCAGTTCAATTTATTTAAAAAAAATGCTAAGTGTCCAGCACATTTTTACAAAAACAGTAGCTGTTCATAGCGTTCCTCGTGCTGTGAACGTGAGCACTTACGTGTTAGGATGAAGTGGTGCGTACGGAGTTCTGAAATTTTTTGAAGCATGACACTTTAAACAAGTAGTAAGGAACGTTAGAGAACGTAATTCAAAGCTGGTTCTTTTGTTCCGTTACTCAATAAGTGGAAATTCAAGTTTTGCTTTTTCTAAAAAAAGAAATAAATTATTTGTCATTAATATGATTAGCCTTTCATTTAACAGAAGGGATCTTTTCTTAGAAGAGAAAGTAATGCCGCAACAGGAAATAAAAAAACAAAAGAAATTTAAGTTTTTGCATTTCCATTTATCATCAGGAAGGTTACAGAGGGCCCTTTGCCAGAGCCCTTTTTAACAAGAGGTGAGCAGGAGGACGTGCCTCCATTTGAGAGGCCGGGGTTGCTTTTGTCGGTCCATCCCAGGTCCTGGCTGCTGGGGGCAGCTGGC